AATATTTATGGAAGATGAATACGGTTCATTAATTATGATTAATACTTTATATTAGAAAATAATCTAAACCTCTATAAAATCACATATTAATCAAATGAAATGGACGGTTGAGATTGGGTTGTATTGGTTGCACAAATGACAAGGGTTGTATAATAACCAACCTCTATATATATATATATATATATATATATATATGTTTAATCATTTGAGAACTCCAAAATTTTTGAGATCCATGAGAACTTCTACCTTAAGGTTTTGTTCAACATGATTTTTCTCCTGTAATTTTTAATGTATTAATTAAAATATACTCGTTTCACAATTTATTTGTTTTATATGTATTCGATTCAAATGTGAAACATTTTTACGAGTATATTTTGCTTCACAAACATGTCAAAAATGTTAAAATTGTGAATTGAGTACATATAAAACAAACACACTGTGAAACAAATATATGTTAAAAACTACATTAAATTCTAGCCATAGATGAAAAGGATTATATGAAATAGCATATGATTCATCGGTTCTCAGAGATCTCACAATCTAGTTGTGTGCCCACACAATACGACGGGATGTAAAAGTTTTATTTTTATGTTCCAAATTTACTTCAAAAGTTAAACAACATGTGTTAAAATGGCAGTTGAAGATAATAGTCAATTCCAATAACTTCATACTCAATATGGAAAACTATTCCAAAAGTGGAATAAATGTGTATTTTTTTTATTAACCTGGATATCCAGCCCGTTATGCGAGCCGACTAATCTCAGGACGACCACCTGCTTTGCAGATAGCCCGGAGTCACCGCATTTAAACCTCCGTGGCCACAAGGAGATTTTTATTCCTACTTGGATTTGAACCTGTGACCCCCTGATACTTTTGACCTTTGGAGCCAAACTCAAACCAATCAGGCACCACCCTTATGGTTAAAGTGAATTGATTATGTACGAATAACTAATGACATTTATCGAATTGATAAACAACTAATACATATAAACTTATTACTATAAATCTATAAAATTTAAGAATAACGAAATATAGTTAGAACATTTTATTTGATACTGAAAATGATCAAACAGGCTTGTAATAAATCATCGTCTATGAGAAACTTCACACCATTTTGGTACACGTCAAGAGCTTAAATCAAAACTCATGCAGAATCATTCAAACAAAATTCACCTAAGCAAAACCAAAGCGTGTTGTTATCCTACCTCAAGGTATTTGAAGAGGGAATCGACCACTTTCAACCAGTTAAGATAAACAATATTAAGGACTTAAATAAAAAATTAAAAAAAAAAGTATTGCTATCTCACATCGATGTATGAGATATGTGGAACCCTATGTGCTAGTTACACCAAAAGGAGTGATGTACGAGATATGTGGAACAATATCAGATTATTCTCCAGAAGATCTTTTAGGAGAGAATGGAGGTTTCAACATACATAGAGAAGAAAGAGACATATAAGTTATTATCATCTGGAGAATAATCTCCATAAGATCTCTTAGAGGATGATTTATATGAATATGAAGTTCCTGTTGTTGGAAATTTGCCGTTTTTAGAAGCTGCATATAAGTACATAAATATAGATTTGGGATCACACCTGTTACACACTGCCAGGCTTTATAAAACTTGCATAATATAGATTTGGGATCAACAACTGTAACACACAACAAGATTTAATCAAACACTAAATTTACAGACTCTAAAATATAATGGATAATCACTACATATGAATGGTGTTTCAACTGTTATAACAATACAGACACAAAAAAAAAACATATATTTTTGAACCAACACTTTTACAACAGCAGCATCTGCAAGTTATGAAAACTGCACTCATAGGTAGAAACAAGAAAACATCAAAATGAAAACCTAAACACACAAAGAGTTCTTTCAAAATTGCAACACATAAATTCAACCACTTTGACCTATTGGCACCAAAATACCAACCCCAGCCAAGGACCCCTGACAAAAGGAGGTTCAAGAATAAGGACCTTTAAGTGCAGTTGGCAGTTGTGTGAGTGAGTGATTCCAAATCCAAACAAAGTATGATTTGAGCTTTGGGGTCAAAAAGTAAATTCCCACTTCAAATTTGGTTTAACTTCTAAACGTACAAAAAATTATGGGTGTTAAGTTGTAACAAAACTCACATCAATTTCAAATCAGAAAGTATGACATTTGGTCTCAAAATCAAAAGTCTTTCTCTGTTTTCAAGGACGACGGATGCACAAAAAAGCACAAAATTTGCAACCCTAAATAAAAATAGTTCTTACTACACATGCAGGATACATTCATACAAACACAAAAACATCATAATTAACAAACTTAATATGTAGAAGTTCGCATGCATATCAATGTCATAATCCTAAATCATCGTATTTGAAAAACCAAAAGGAAAAGAAATGAAATCCATACCAACTGGAACTTTGGGCTGACTAACAGCAATCTTAAGCAGATCATTCAACTCCTTTTTTGCCTTCTCTTTTTCTATTCATTCAAATCAAAAACATCAAAATAATAACCCCAATAAATAAAAAACACAGCAAACATCGATTGATCAATCAAATTAAAAAAAAAACATAAAATCAATCATACATGCAACCAACCTTGGCATTGATTTAGGATCAGGCTTAGGTTGAATAGATTGACGCAAAGATTCGACGTATTTCCGAGCATTTTTACTCTTGTTCTTATTCTTGAGACCGAAGGTCTTGTCTTCATTGATCTTCTGCTTCTTTGCTAAATCTGCTTTCGATTGCTGCTTCGAAGGCATCTTTAATAGTCATCATATCCCTTTGGAGGATCTTTAATAGATTAGATACCATATACATATGTACATATACATATGTATATATTGGGGGACCTTCTTTTAAGAACCTATGAAATTGTGATAATATTGAGAACGTGTGCATCATGTGTTATTTCATATGATTTTTTACATCTAAGACTAGAATTTTGAATATTGATTGACATATATTTGTTTCACAATATATTTGCTTCACAATATATTTGTTTCACATGTACTCATTTTACAATGTGAAACGTTTTGGAGTACTTATGAAACACAAAGTACACATAAAGAAGTTCCACATTGTGAAGTTTTGGAGTACTTATGAAACACAAAGTACACAAAAAAGTTCCACATTGTGAAGAGAATAAATGTGAAACAAACATACATTGAAACAAATATATCTTAATCAACATTAAATAGTACCTAAATAGAAATCATATACAATAACACATGATGAACAAGTTTTCAAGGTTATCAAAATTTCATTGGTTCTCAAATGATTTAATCCCCTATATATACATATATATATATATATGTATGTATATATGTATGTATGTATGACAGGGACGAGAACCCTACCGTCGGCCAAAAACAGGACCAACCCATTTCCCCCATCTCCTCAAAACCGAAATGAAGCAGACCGATGAAGAACACCATAGGGACCAAAATGGAACTGAGAAAATGAATTAAAAATGGTTTGAGATCTTGCATTGTTTAATTAGAGAATTAAAAAAGGTGACCCTTCAAACCATCATCACCCTAAAAATAGGTGACCCTTCAAACCTGCAAGTTGATCAAAACCTTTCGGTTAAAATCAAGGGTGTTCCATCTCCATGAAAACCTGCAAATAATGGCCTCAATTCAATCGATCGTGAAATCGTAGGTAGTTTATGTGGCTTCAAATCAGTCAAAAACTTGTGTAATAAGTAGAGTAGGGATGGGTGAGGGTGGTTAATCAAACAAAACCTTGTGAAATCGGTGGAGTGAGGGTAGTGGTAGTGGTGGTGATGGCGATGTGGGAGGTAAGTAATGGTGGTGGAAGGTTTTGATCAATTTACAGGTTTGAAAGGCTGGAGAAGAGGATGAAGATGGAGGGGTTGGCCGACTGTACCCCACTTTCATCATGCTTGTGCCTCGATCACAAAGCATAAAACGCAACAAGATCAGATTTTGTAGTTGGAGGTTTGGTCGGTGGTAGATTGTTTGGCCGACGATAGAGGTTTGGTCATTGTAAAAATGGTCCCTGTTTTATATATATATATATATATATATACATACACATATATATATATATATATATATATATAGGGGAACGATCGAATGCAAACCACTCAATTTGTACAAACCGTGCAAACCTCATTCAACCAATCATAATTTTTCATTTTGTTCATTTTTTGTAATTACGAGAGGTTGATTAATCATTTTTATTGTGGAGGGTGTTAATCATAGATATTATCATCTTCATTATTTTAATTTTTAGAGAAATACATGAAACAGTTTCATTAATTTTAGAGAAATACATGAAACAGTTTCATTAATTTTAGAGAAATACATGAAACAGTTTCATTAAGTATTATATGAAACAATTTCACAACCATATATGAAACAATTTCACAACCATATATGAAACAACTTGATCAAAAAAAGTATTATATGAAACAATTTCATGAAAAAATTTCATAAGATTAAACAATGAAATCGAC